CCGACAACGCGCTCGTCGATGAATAAAGGATCAGCAAACAGGATAAAGGGGAGCACGATGTCCCTTAATGATTTCATGGCGAGTCAGCGAATAAATTAATAATCGAGCTTGCAGGGGCTTCTAGCCTGAGAACAGCTGTCGAGGATATCGAACCACCGATTTTATAATAATTTACAATATCATTTCTCTAAAATATATTTTCCTATATGGTGATTTTGAAGAGTGAGAATTGTGCAAAATAATACAATTAACAATTTCCTAACAAGTCGAAGAATAAATTAAACAGACCATAGGATCCTATAGTGAGGAAATCGAGCCACCGATTTTTATAATTTAAAATATCTTTTCTCCTGGAGTACTTATTTTTGCAAGATAATATTAATAATTCCCTTGCAAGTTAGCATAAAAATGAATAGGAGTGCTTTTAGGATCAAAATGTCCCTATTTTCGACTGGAACAAAAATTTTCCGACTTAAAATATTCTTTTCTCCCGATCCCCGAATGTAAGCATGATTTATGGGCTGGACACTCAAAAGGTTAATCTTCGTGAGCACGGAAGGGTGCATCGGTGTATGGAAACGTTCCTCCTTTTTTCAAAAGTCCGCCAGATACTCGTAGTTTTCCCAGCACCCTCGAAAAGAGTAGGTGGCGCAAAAGGGGCGAAGTATTTATTTCTAGTGCCCTCGAACCGTTTAATTTTTCACGTGCTGTTCGAGCAGACCGAATAATTGGCCTGTGAATTCTCGATTTCCGCCCCTCGCCCTTCCGTTTCCCATATTCCTCGCTCTTCCACCCTTTTTTCCCTCTCGTTTCCCGCCGAGTGGCTGCTGGCTGCCAGCTACTCGCAAAGAAATTGCGCGTTCCGTTGCTTCTGCTTGCCGCAACGATGAAAACTGTGATCCACCTTCTTTGCGATCGATTGGAATATCGATGAGGGCGATGCACAAGGTCCAATAGTAATAAACGTTGATAAAAATTATCTCCGACTGTACAGGTACTGAAGCACTCTGCGCAGAGTTCGGTCCTTCACTCGCTCCTATTCCCATCTCTGACGTCCTCCAAGTCAGCAGAGTTTGAGGACATTAGCGACACTTGCTGACATAGAATTTCCATATATACGTGTGCAGAAGATACACTTAAGCTAGTTACAGAAGTATTCGAACAATCGTTACCTTTAGAAGAATTATTGATGGACCTAACCCAAATTCTGACTGACAGATGGGTCGTATTAATTAACCCAGATGAACCTGGATTTTTCATTCCAATATCTAACACACTTCGTTTTCAGTTTGATTCCTGTTTTCCGAGGAATCATAAATGATGACAATTTGATCTTCTAGATAAGGTCACGTTTATCTGACAGATTGAGCTCTCTGATACATGTAGATCTCACCTCCTCTATGTTTGACAGCTGTTAGCAAGGTCTAGGCCAGCTGGTCACCCTGGCCAGACAGGGGGGTGAATAGTGTATAAACGGAGATTGAACTGATTTGGAAGATTGAGAATTAGAGTCGAGATATTGGGACTATCTAACTGGTGACCATAATTGACTTCAGAGAGAAACGTGGCTATTTATACACTTATCTATCTTCGTTATATAACTTCAATTGTTATAATCTGTTCTATATACAGTTACACATTACGAGTCAGTAGTTTTAGTGTCAAGAGACACAGACACAATGGAATATTGGAGAAACGTAAGCAGAGACTGCAATATCCTGGGAACCAGTGAGACACAGGAATACACGAAGCCACGTATTACCATACTGCGAATAAAAGTGTGAATAGAATTTCTTCTCTTTCTCTTTTAAAATTATTGTACCTGTATGAACGAAAATTAAATGTTCTAAATCAGACTTACCAACTCGGGTTGACAGCCGCATGGTTCCATTAAGCCAGGATTATCCGCGTAAAGGTCTGAAGTAAGGGAGACTCGACTAAGTGCGACATTTTATTTTATCGACACAAGTGCACGTGAGTAACCTGAAATTAAATGGGAGCGATCTAGAACTCTATTAAAATTCTACCTTAAGTAGATAGGTGCTAGAGACTTACCCATAGTGAAAGAAAAAATGGCGACGTTGAAAGTGACTACCATCAGGATCTCATGTACCAAATATGTCATCGATAGGCAGCCGTGGTTGTGCTGAAAAGAAAAAGAGGGTAAATCGACATCAATCGACTAATAAAGCCTCGTTTTATAGCCGCGTAAGACAACGTTTAACGCCCTGGGATTCGACTATAAAGATGAGCTTTACGGCTAAACCGGACGGTCTAGCATCGAGGCCAATAAATTTTATCGGTTTCTCGCGTTTCTTGCGACGGCCACCTCGGAACTTATCGATGAACCGAGCGTTCCTCCGGCCTCCAACTTCTTTATGTGTTTTTCCAACGATGCGCCGCTTGGGCGAGCGGAAAATTCGCGGGAAATATTCGGGAAAGTTCGCGAAACAGACTACCCCGTCGGGCATTCTGCTTTTTGCTGGAACTACGACGGATTTCCAAAACTGGGAATCTTTGCGCGAACTTTCATGCAAATTACTCTCGGCAGAACTTCCTGAGATTTCGTCCCGTGGCCTGTTAATTTTAATTTCGATCCGGGACACTTCCAAGTATCCCCCGTTTGTCTTCTATGAAATTCAACGACCCCACGAATGACCGAGCAGAAGTGTAGTCCTCTCGATGCTAACAGTGACTATAGACACTCGATATATGACTGTGGCTATGGATTAGCTGATGACTATAATCATCCAACGATTCATCTTTGTTGCACACTAATGGTGATTATAGTTGCCCAACATATGACACTCGCAATGTACTAATGGTGACTATCGGTGACTATAGCTATCAGTGATTAGAGGTGACTATCAGTGACTATACTATCGATGACTATAATTACTCAACGTCTGACACTCACACCACACTCCCAGTAATTGTAGTCTCTCGTTAAAATTCGTGACTGACTCATGATTTTCCCTGATAAATTACCAAAGGGCGAGAGCTTTGTAAAAGAGTTTAGAACAACCCAGATTTTTCCCATGGAAACGGGGGAGTCGGTAACAAGCTACCGGGAATTAATTCGACGAGTTCTACCTGTACGTGGAGGAGCGTGGATACCGGATACGTGACCGGGGAGTCAGAAAGTCGGGGGAAACGAGCGTCTGCGGGATAACGTCCGAGGTATCTGGACTTCGTCAGATCGACGACGTCGTCGACGCTTTCAGCCGATGCCGGAAATCGAGAGGACGTGCCTCGATATCCGTTCCTTATCGATTCCATCCTTTCTTTCCACTGACTTCCTCTCTCTCGCTCGTCTAATTCCACGAAACACACTTTCCCCGAAGCTTGACCTCCTTCGGTTACTAGCTCTTTTCCACATTGGAAAATTCGTTGGATGGGAAAAAACTTCGCGGAAAATGAAGGAAAACGCTTGGAAATGTTGGATTCCAAAGGGAAATTCGAAGAAAAATCTGAAATTACTTTTTTCACCATATGTTGGATTCGAACCCTAGTCGTTTTGGTGGAAAACCTGGACGATAATCACTGATCTACAAAAACATATTTGATAGACTTTTTCGTCACGGTTATATTAACCTCTTTCACTATAACGATCAGTCTACTTTAGCATAACATTTTCATACTAAACTACAGGAAAATTACGCGCGAATTATGCGAATAAAATTATGCTAAACACGTCTTAACACGAGTAAAATAAGGATTCTAAAAGCCTAAGTACTTAATCAATATTTCTTCGATACACATGTAACTCTAGTTATAATTAAAATTATTTTCCCAAAGAAATATTCCTCAAACTGAGATTTTATATGACATCTAGACTTCTCCAATTTCCTCGTGCATTTTCTTGAAACTCCAGACGTTTCTTCGTTCTCAGTGACCATCGGTTCAGCGGAATCCCACAAACGTCAAATTCACTCGAGGATAAATCATTCCAGATCTATTTCACCGTCAATCAAACGTACGAATCGTTGGTCTTATTCGTCCCTCCGGTAATGCCATGTACGAACCTTACAAAATGGTTAAATCAATTCGAGATTCGACTGAAAGACGTTTGACGGAAAAAGGAGTGTCGCGAACGAATGATAAATTTCACGCGTTCTCCACCGAAACTACGAAGACGAATGCGTTGTTTGCTCGCCAGACAGCTTTTACCGTTTCACGTAAACAACCGTTTCCAATCTTATAGTTTGAATGACTGCGTGGCGCGCAAACAACGTTAAATTGTTAAAAACAGTGGCATACATATCCCGTTCTCTCGCGTTCAAAAACTCGTTCAACCGAGTCGATAACAAAGCTATTCTCGACAAACTGATGCCATAAAAGATGAATAATGATTAGACAATTTTCTTCGAGATGAAAGACACTATTTCTACTGCTCTGTATATATAATAATAAAAAGAAATTCGACAGTTCTAAATGTTAAAATACTAAAAATATTAAGAGTCAAGAAAATGGCAAGAAAATTATTATTTTACCTATGAAATACGTCTTTTCAACGAACGATACTAATTTACTCAAAAATTGAGGGCACTATGTCTACAATTTTCCGATTCTCTTCATCTTCCATTACAATTTTAGCTACTATCGATGCTTTCACAACGAAGAATGTTAATTTACTTTAAAAAATGAAGAAACTATTGAAACGGTACTACTGCTACATTTTTCTGCTTCTTTTCCATTACGATTTTAATTATTACCAATATTTTCTCAACGAATATCGATTTGCTTAAAAACCACAGGACGCCAGCTCATTTACAATTTCCCGGTTCTTTTCTGCTACATTTTTCTGCTTCTTTTCCATTACGATTTTAATTATTACCAATATTTTCTCAACGAAGAATATCGATTTGCTTAAAAACCACAGGACGCCAGCTCATTTACAATTTCCCGGTTCTTCCCGTCTCTCGTCGCGATTTCAAATACCGCCAACGTTTTCACAACGGAGCATATTAATCGACTGTTTCAGATACGCACTGGCCGGTGTTCGTCTGCGTTCTTATGGCGACGACGGTGCTTTCCTGTCGGCAAAGCGAGTTCCAATGCGCCAACGGCCGCTGCATCAGTCTGAACAACGTCTGCAACGTCGTCGACGACTGCGGCGATGGCAGCGACGAGCCAAGGCAGTGTTCACGTGAGTAACAAAGCTTCCTTGTTCCGCGTGATCCAACGAAGCCAATAGAAACGAGTTCCGACCTCGTTCGACTTCACTCGCGAAGTCTCTTCCGGTGGATCGAGTCAAACGCAGCCGGAAGCGACCAGGGGCGACTGCAAATCGAGTTAGACGAGGATCGAACTTGCTACGCCCGCGGACATCGACAGTTTCGTTCACAGAACTTTGGATAACTGTTGCGTGCTTCGATTATAGGATTATCTTCCAAATGCACCCTGACGAAAGAAAAGAAAGCAATGAAGAATTAAAATAGGAAGTGTCATAAGACAAAGTATTCTATGATTAGTTCAGTGAACTTACGTCTCAGCTAGGTCCATGGGAATCGATTCAGGGTTTAAAAATCCTCAGGAACTCGAAGTCTGGTAGAAAATTAAGTAAGGGAAGATTAACTGCTCGGAATTTAGATTTGCATCCACTTTAACCAACTCCCCGGTTAGTATTTCCAGCGGAATTAAGTTGGAACTCGGGAGAATAGGGAACTGCTGAAAATCCAAGGCACCAAAGCCCTCTGGGAGTACTTTATAATAGGTGCAGCACACACGAAGGCGAAACCGATGTGGAATAGCATTTGCTTTCGAACGGAGCAAACAATCGGCCAAGCCTCACCCGATCTCACTTGATTCCCGTTATAAAGACAGCCAGTCCAGGTGGACCTCCTCCAGTTAGCGACCTTCTGCCTCTTCCATCGTATCGAAACAATAATTAGTCGGAGATCCGTCCCTTTTCACGATGGAGAACGGTCCCCAGGCCAGATACAATCGCGACTCTTTCGACCTCTTCCATGCCACGAACATTTCGGTCGACTCATTGTCACCGACGGCTGAATGCAGTAACTGATCCCCTCATTGTTCCTGCGGGGCCACGATCGAACCCCGTTTGAAAGCAGGAGAACTCGAAACGCGACCGTTCTCTCTATCTCTATCGTGATTGCAGCGAACTCCAAAGAGTTTCTGCTTCGTTAGACCCCTTTTTCTCCGTCCTCCTCTGTCCCTTATTTTTCTCTCGTATTTGTTTATCCCTGACCCCGCGGTCCTCCCTCGTTTCGTTGCGTTCAACCGTAATCGAGTTTTGTGCCGCGCGAACGTTGCTCTTCGAGTAGAATACGATGAATTTTCACCTTTGTCCCTATCTTTTTCTCCTTTTTCCCTTTCTTCCCGTTTTTAACTTCTTTTTTCCTCGGGTCAAGGATCCTGGAGGTAGACAGCGTTTCGATGCAACGAAGGATGAGTTCTGCTTTCCTTTTTTCTTCTTTTTATTCTTGGGTCAAGGATCCTAGGAACAGACAATATTTCGATGAGAGGAAAGGCGAGTTTTCCTTTCATTTCCTATTTATTTATTTGATTTCGAAATCTGATGCCTCTTTCTATATTTGTTTACCACCCAAAGGACAAAAAGCTCGAGGAAAATCGATGTTTAAATTTCAAAATGTTGTCATTTCTCTAATTTTCTAAATTTCGCTGTTTTCAGTGATTCATGCTTCCACAATTTTCATTAATTTCGTTAAAGAAAAATTACGAATATTCTCTAACTATAAATAAATCTGAGTGCAAAGTCTGCATGCCAATATGTATCATGGTTTCCTCAGAAAAAATTCCCAAAGAGCTGATTTTTATAGCTCGGATTACAACTAAACGCACTTAACAAAACTCAAAAATAAAGAATTTCTTGGAATTATTTAACACTCTATAAATAAATTACACGAAAAACTAGCAGATATTGAAATATGTATGAAGCAGACATGCCTTAACCTAAGCAGGCTCAATCGATTCCAATCAGGCGTCTGAAAATACATCTTCCAAACAGGAAGTGCGTCCTATCGAAGGCGACATCCGTCACGTGATGCTCCTCACGGAGAGATTAATCGAGCTGCATGAGCTGTCCACGTGATGGCTAACGCGACATCGTTCCGCCATTTGCCGTAAATAATTCGAAGCTGGTGGCTCGGGTTCCACGCGATTTAACCCCTCGCAGAGCAGGACCAAACCCCTCGTGATGCGACGGTAATACTAATGGAACCGTCACGACATCCTGTGTCTCGTTCGATGCTCAAATCGTGCGTGGAATATTTTTATACGCCTCGCTTCCGCCACATTTTGTTCCATATTTTTTCTTCTAAAATCGGTGGCACATCCAAGCGTTCGAACTCGAGGTCAAAGAGGTCTGACAGGGTCGTGTTCAGTGGACATTTGGGCTACAGGATCAAAGGTGCGAAAGAAGAGTGTTTCGATCGAGTACTTTGCACGAGGTGAAATTTCCTGCTTATGAGAGCCAGGCTGTTTGATTTATAAGGAAGATAGTATTTATGTTAAACGAAGGCAGAGGGTTTGGTAGCACGATAGAGTGCGAACTGAAGATACTTGGGCTAGAATATCAGAGATAGGGAAGTGTGTTTGGACCTACCGTTTGGAAAGTGATAGGGTATTGGAAGACAGAAGCAACCGAGTACTTAGTAAATTAATTTTGAGAAATTTCAATAAAGTTTGAGAAGAGTGTTTAAACTCATAGGGTATTAGAAGAAAAAAACAATTGAGTGCTTAAGAAATCAATTTTAAAATATTTCAATAAAATTTAGGAAGAGTGTTTAGACTTATAGTGTGGAAAGAAATAGGGTATTAGAAGAAAAAAGCTGAATGCTTAGTAAATTAATTTTGACAAATTTCAATAAAGTTGGGGAAGAGTTTAGACTCTTAAGGTATTAGAAGAAAGAAGAAACGAGTGCTTGGGAAATTAATTTTAAGAAATTTCAATAAAATTTGGGAAGAGTGTTTAGACCTACGGTTTGGAAAGAGATAAGGTATTAGAAGAAAGAAGCAATCGAGTACTTAGTAAATTAATTTTGAGAAATTTCAATAAAGTTTGAGAAGAGTGTTTAGACTCATAGGGTATTAGAAGAAAGAAACAATTGAGTGCTTAGGAAATGAATTTTAAAATATTTCAATAAAATTTAGGAAGAGTGTTTAGACTTATAGTCTGGAAAGAGATAGGGTATTAGAAGAAAAAAGTTGAATGCTTAGTAAATTAATTTTGACAAATTTCAATAAAGTTGGGGAAGAGTGTTTAGACCTACGGTTTGGAAAGAGATAAGGTATTAGAAGAAAAAAGCAACTAAGTGCTTAGGAAATTAATTTTGATAAATTTCAGTATAGTCAACCTTGTGTCGGATGTAATCTACTGTTGCGTCTAATTACAATTTTACTTATTTACCTCGAAATAAAAATACAAAATCGTAGAGGGGAAAGGAAGATCGTAACCTATTCGAGGAAATCCTAAATCCTGAAAGATTCTGAAATATCCTGAGTTTTTCCTCCATTTTTACCTCCAAATTAAAATACAAAATCGTAAGGAGGGGAGGAAAAATCGTAACCTATTTGAGGAAATCTTTGAGCAGCATAAAAATCTAGGAGATAAATTTTGAAAAATATGCAGGACGGTAACGATCGTCTCCATTTTACGAGATGCAAGACGGACTCGTTGGGAACGCTGAAGACAGGGGATGTTTCCCTTACTCAGATGGCCTGTTATCGACAGACCGTGACAAAATGGTGGTAGCTGAACCGGCAAAAACGACCTTCGTTCACCACTATCCTCTAATTTCCCTGATTCATCTCTCGTAAAACGTCCCACAGACCTCTGGAATTCGTGGTGTCTCACCTGGATCACCCGAAAGGAAGCTCGTAAACGTAAAAACACGGGAAGGGTGAAGATAGGGGCGAAAACTCGTTTGGAAATGGAAAGAATTTCGGTAATTTCCGCGGTGAACACGAACGAACTGAAACGATTCGTTTAACAAAGCGAATAGCGTTCGATGGACGGTATCGTTCCCTGGAAATTGCGACTGGCAACTTTTATTCGCCGCTTCAAAGGGAACCAACCGGAAGTTTCGCTGGCTGAGGCAGCGAGGAAAGGGGACGACGCGTCAGGAAAAATATTTGCCTGTTTGTTCGACCCTGCTCTGCCCGAGGGAAACAGACGGAAAAATTAATGACACGACTTTCCCACCGTCCCATCGATCCTTTTGTAACGGAAACTTTCGAAACTGTGGAAGGGAAAACTGGATGGAAAGCGATCGCGGGCCGAGTTACGCGAAAACTTCCTCCCCTTTCGCCAGATATGGAAGAAACAATGGAATATGAATGGAAAGCAACGAGATTACCTGATAACCTACTTCCAAGTCTGTGCAATGGGGCATCTTACGTAAGGAATTGGGAATGTTCTCGGATATTTTCTGAGAGGAATTTTATGAAGATTATAAAGCCGGACGAGGTAATCCTGTTTAAGCAGATAGTCGATATCTCGAGCACGAAAGGTATTTTCGAACGTACGATTAGGGGGATATTTGCGATTCTTCCTGGTAAATTATTTATTCGAATCGATTCGGCAAACAAACACGCGATAGGAGCTTGGAAATTAGGTACCAGGAACTTCGAGTAATTTATTACTTGTTTATTCTACTCTGGCTGGCTCATTAGGGGTGGTCACGTTCAAATGTGACCATCGCGTGCAATTTTTCGATTATATCCCTCGCAATATTTTTATTTATACTGCCCGAGTCCACGAAGGGTTAATTTCCGATTAAACTTTGGATCTCTAGACGAAACTACACGAAAAATTGATCGATTTGCTAGAATTTTACATCACGGTCACGAATTTTATAACATGTGGACTACATTAGACTTTGAGAGTTAATAGTACAATCAAAATTAATGAAAGAAGTTTATACAAACTGTACTAATGTCTTCACTATTTACCACTCTCAAATACTTTTTGTTCCTTTTTCTAATAATTTGTTTGGTCCACTATTCATCTACCTTCATCTTGTAATATTCTCCTGTCTTTGAATTTCTTTGCTACATTATACATGGTTAAATGACTATGGTTTTCGCTCCATGTTATTCCAAATGGACTATATTAAGGACCCACTGTTACTCGCCTATACTATATACTTATTCGTAATAAATAACAATATTTAATTCGACCTCGATATTAAATCTTCCACTCATAAGGCACTAGACAGTCGAGCAAATTTATTCCCAAAAAATTCCTTTTTAACCGTACATGAGAAATGCGTTTCCATTTAAAGAGTACCCTAACGAAAGAGTTAAATACCCTGACATTCGTTTCGCTCAGCTTGCCCTAATGCACATGATACTAAACGCCGTCTATCGATCTACCCAGCTTCGCTATTACCGCAAAACCGCTTGGCAACATAAAGCAACCGCGTTTCCTCTTATTGTCTCCACGTGGCCGCGTAACACCGGCGACCGCGGAAAACACTATGCGATTATAAACGCGACTCTCGCTGGCTTAATATCCGTGAGCGGTGAGATTAAACGAAGTAGAGGGAAATTCAGAGTTCTTGAGGTCGTTGGCTAAAGGAACGAGATATTCTCGAGTAGATCTACGCGAAACACAAACGTTCGAGACGTTCGTTCCTGGGACCTATTCGTTCTTCCGCAGCTACGAGTTTCAATTTGCTGTAAAAGACAGAGCGATAAAACCTGGGACGTTAACTGCTGGCAATTCGCCGTGGGGGAACAGGTTTTTAACGAGAGATCTACGAGGTTCGGAGAAGTGAGAGATGTTGGATGGACGGAGACGTTGATGGAAGGTAATTTGGTTGTCTGTGGATTCTATAGGGTGCCCATCTTTGTTGGAAGACAGTGGTTGCTTGGATCAATGAACATTGATTCTCGTATGGAGTAAACCTGGTGTCCTGTGATTGGCTAATTACTGACTATCAGAGGTGCGTCTACTGTGTCTTTCACGATATCTTACTCCTAGGAAATGTAACTCGTGGTCTCAGAATATATGCTAACGTGATTAGATAAGGTTTAAATCCCCTATAACTTTCATTGCAGTATAATATCCAGGAGGTTCAATGATTATTCCTCAATCTCATCGTCAGCTAGCAACGTTCCATTATATTGTGAAATTATGAATGTTTGGACGAAATTTTAGACAAATCCCATACTCCCTACTGTGACTTTTATAGTAGAGTGTATTCTTGAAAATCTTCTGCATCTTCTAAGAGACTGTAACCGTGTTCTCAGCCATATCATTTAAGAGAGCTTCGACTTTCCATTAAGTTTCACTGCGATGTAATGTCCAAGTTGAGCCATTTCTACGAAGAAAACTCCATGAAGTTCGTAACCATAAAAGTGCAGACTAAATTGTAAACAGCTCCCTTAACACATCTCGTGATTCCTCTCCAAAAGCTCACGACGATCATCCTATAGTGCCATCTTCTGAGAGAAAACAAGCTCCACGAGCTTCTACTGCGCTTTTCACAAGGTGTACAGAAAATCGTCCAAGTCCACCAAAAGAGTGTAACCTGTAATTTCAGTTATAATCTGATTTAAACGTGCTTCATTGCAACATGCTATCCACAGAGCTTACTCTCTCCCAATCATTAATCAAACATTGTCCATTAGAAAAATTTCATTAAGTTTGTAATAAGAAAAGAGTGGACAAAGTTATGAACGATTTCCTTCACACGTTTCGCGATTTCTCCCTAACGAAAAGCCCTCGGCAGCAACCTTTTCGGAAAGAACAAACTCCACCAGACCGATAACAATTAACCTAACCGCATGTAACGCGAAATATAAATTGCGGAGCGGGTTCCAAGCTCGCTAGCTTTTCCTACTGTGCCGATAAGCCAGTCGACGAACGAGAATAATATATCAGAGTCGCGAAAACACATGAAGCAGCCCAACCGCGCAATTATTTCGCAATAAACACTCCGATTGATCAACGTCTCCATGCTGTCCCAACGTAAATACATCGCCGGTGCATTGTCTCGCGAAACGATCATTATAATGAGGCTAATAAGATCGCGACGGGAGTTCGACCTACTAAATCATTGTTATCACGAAGGAATTCGTCGAGAGAACACGGGGTAGATTATAAATTCGTGCGCACGCATCCTAAACCTGCCTCGTAATTTTTTGGTTAATTATGCTTACGCTACTTGAGTTGGAGATAATACGACTTACTGATAAGTGAAAGTAGAGAAATGCATTAACACCAGAACTATGGATCTAACTCTAGGTACACTCAGATATGAACAAAATAAATAGGTAAATTAATTATGTGTGTGTGAATAATTCATGCCGCTTAAATAATTCATAAGTTTAAATATTAGAGTAGTACAAACTAGATTTTAGATAGACTATAAATAAATGTAGCGTTACCCATTATAATTATAGCTAATTTATTTTCTCGTGAGACCTACATTTCACTACTTTCGATCAGCTGTTTTCTGTTCTATATAGATTTTAACGTCCTATCTTTAACGATTAATCATTTTCTGGGCATCGAGGATCAACTAATATATTCATAAGCTACTCCACATTCAAATACCTACACCAGGAAGCATACAGACAGCCTTTTTAACGAACCAATAAACTTCGACTCCAATCAGCATCTCGACTTTCCAACATCCATACTCAATCTATCCCCACCCAATTCTAGCTATTCTATAACCCCACTCTCTACTGTTCTTCGATTTGCAAATGGGTTTAGCTATGTTACAAGTTACACAGTTGGATGATATAAAGTGGAAAATTGATCCTGTGTTAAAATCGTTGGTCACAGTGCAAAGCGAAGGAAGCTCGAGCTGACTCAGTGACTCGTCCTGGATGCCCACTTTTCCACCATAGTCGTAATTCAACGGACAAAGTCGTAAAATGCCGCGACTACCTGATTCGGACGTTATTCCGCTTCCTTTTTATGATGGAGTAGAGGGTAAAAAGCACGAGCCACTGATAAAACAGTGAAGTCGATGGTGCATCCACTGAATTCGATGAAGCTGTAGCGGGTCGGTGGAGTGGGGGTCGTATGTGATCCAAGCTGGAGGACTTCCGGTTCCAACAACTGCGGAAGAGCAGCGTGCCAATGGCGGCTGCGAATTCCAGTCACGTAGTCACGGAAGCGGGCCTCTGATCCGGAAAGAAGAACAGGCTCGGCTCTCTGGAACAGATACAGAGTGTTGGAATGAGTGGTCAGTTAGAGTGATGGAGACGGTGTTCAGGGCAACGTGGAGACGTGTTGGGTTAGGTCGATAACGGTGTACTGCGAAATGGTGTAATAGAACGATAGAATTGAAGCGATAAGTTATAGGGTAACGCAATGATATACTACGATTGCTATAGACGATGGTTGGGGCTGTATGTTTCCTTGGTCGTTATTGCAGTGGAAACAGTACTATCAGACAGGAGTCTATAGATAATTGAGACACTGAAAATGAAGATATCAAAGGGAATTATTTACCAGACACTCGATACTGGAATTATCTTATCACGAATATCGTTGAAGTGGAATGTTTAATTAAATGAGAATTAAAGATTGAAATATTAGGAATACGTACATGGTAAATCCACTTCGCGATCCTTATTACGAGTACTCGAGTGTTCGTGAAATATCCAAAGTCCATATCATTACCATCTTTTAAAACTTCCTGTTACATCCACCTAGGAGTAACCACGGTGTCCAAGCTTATCGAAAAACACGAATTATTTATACTTCAGTTGCAGCCTCCTCTTCTCCGATAATTCGTCTAAAAACAAGATATAGTATCTGGAGGATTGCACAAATGCAGTAAAGCATCCTCTTTAAAGAGACGTCCCTCGACGACTCGCATCCATTTTTCATTAAACAAAGACGTTGGCTGGTGCAATTATGAATTTCCTTAAGCTCTTTCCGTTTCCTCTGTCCTACTTTGTTGTTCTTTTTTCCTCTCTTTTTTAGTATTAAATTTTCCAATGTATTTTTGTCCTAGCCAAAAGTTCGAAAGTAAGCCAGCCATGCATCACCAACGGATACGACCACTTTCATAAACTGCATTCATAACGGGATACCGGAAGTCGGCCACCCGTTGGAGAAAAGTTACGATAGGCAATAACAAACTTTGGTATTCTTCCTGCGACTCCGATGAATTCTCCCCGTGAACCCGGTTAATTTATATCAATTATACCGGTTAAAGCAATTAAGTGCGAGAACGAGGCGAAGGGAAGCCGGGTTTTATTAAGAAGTTGCCGTTCATCCGCTATTCCTTGCACGTTTCCTAGCAGAAGAAGGGAACCACAGGCAAAGAACTTCAGCTCTGTCGATTTTTCCTTGAATTACCGTGTCCGTTTTTGCATTTTCCTGAATCCCAATCCTCCCTACATCATTCTCCTTTGCAATTATTTCGAGACCTCAAGACAGCCGTTAATGGTTCTGAACTGGAAGACATTATATCAGGGAATTTTAACTCGAACCGAAATTCCCTTTTTCCATAGATACCATACTTGAATAGAAGTATAAAATGCCGGACGCTGTTTGCCCGCGTCATTAGTTCACGGAAAGTTCCTCTAAAAGAACCACAAGTGGCCGAGTTTGTAATAGCAATTTGAAATTTCCCTAAAAGCACGCGCGACCTGGCACAAAAGTAATTCTATCGAGTTTAAGATCCTTATAAAAACCTTTTAAAAATGTTGGACATACACGAGCATAGATATTACAATTAACACTCTTAAATTCTCTCACATTTACATCTCCTTGCTGCTTCCTTTGTATATGTAACATTTTAGATTAAAGACTTGTAAAGAGGAGCATTATCCTTCAGCAATTTATGCGTACGTTTAAATTTATGTTATTCTTTTAAAAAAAGGAACCTTCTATTTAAAGCAGAATTATAGGAAAGTCTCCCTAGCTACCGCAGAAAATATCGATGAAACGATCAACCAACGTTTGACTACACGACACCATATGGTGGTTCTTTAAATAATTCACAAACATTCAGACAGAAGATTAAATGTCGGTGGCAATGGTCTTTAAAGAGTGGCACACAAAAGGGCGCTTTAAAGGACCTACTTTCCAGTCGTCGAGCCGAGTGCTCTTCCTTTCTCCCTCTCCAGCCTGGCGTGCGCCTCTCTTCTTGCCCGCCTGCGTCTTTCATGTTTCCTTTTCCTGGTTTCTTAGGGCGGAACCGAGCTACCGGACGCTTTCTACCGACTATCGAGGGTGAAAATTACGACCTGGTGTAATTTCGCTCGAATATTATTCAGGCTAGACGAAAAACGAACGAGAACCTGCCTTATTACCATTCCACATAAGAAATTACCCCATTCGCTCTCGCTTTTCGCGATTTTATTCTACCTAAACGTCGGTTTTACAAGAAATACAGAGCTCTTAAATAGCTATCAGTCCTCTTCGAGAGAACTGAGAATTAAAAGAGATTGTTACGATCGGAACTACGCTTCAGGATGTTACTAAAGTCGAATTCTGCAAGAAGAAAGGAGACGTGAGACTGGAGAAATCGGTTGATGAGAAGTATCATATAATTACGTGGAAAACTGTGTGTCTTGCTGGTCGATGAAGCGTTTACATTGATCTCCTGAGCTGCGTTCTCGTTGGGCGTGGATACATTGGAGCACTCGCAGAAATCTCGAACAGATCCTCCGTAAAGCGATATTTGATCATCTGAGCAGGATACGACCAATAAATAAGTAAAACACGAAATTACGATCAAATCCAAATCCAAGGAAGAGAAGATCAATGGTACCTTTCAAATCGGCCATTGTGTTATCCACACAGAAACTCATGTCACTGTCATCGGAATAATCATAGTGACATGGAGTAAACATACTGGAGGGATTTGGATTGTCCTGATCGATCTTTCTCGCCGAAGACATCTTCCTCATCCTGAATTCAGAAGTCTGGTTCACCAACTGGCGGTCTTTCCGATCAACTAAACCATTATTCGATAAAAAATTTCTCTCCATATGATACCAAAGGCATAGGTACATAGTGTTAGAAGCCAAAAGATTTAGCTGAAGCCTAGTGACAATAGCGTCACCTATTAAATCGTTACACATGCTAAGACTTCTAATTCTTTAAAGGATCTCTAGAAAAATGTACTTAAAATGTACAGCCAATTCTTTTGACTTTCGATGTAGCTTGATTTAGATTACTTTTCTTCGCCTTTTTAAATGGAGACACGCTATAGCGTACTGTCTCAATCTTTGAGATTCTTGGATAAGCAGGCGGATCTACGAAATGAGCCTTTTCCCTCTCTAGTGGAATATTCTTCATTGGTGATGCTACAGGCTTCTCTTTATCACAGATCAATCTCATTCTCTTCACCGGTGGATCATCCACAACCTTCGCAAGATCCACGCAGCGTTGGCCTGTTTGCTTATCTTTCGAAAGGCTGGGTGGCTGGTCCAAGTGCTCCAGTTCCTGGTCCATTCGTTGTTCCACTTCCTCGTCGACCGCATCGATCGGCTCTAAGGCCGTGTTTCCATCCGCCTCGCTGGCTGTGTCCTCGTGCTCCACTTCCTGCTGCTCCTGGTCCAGTGAAGGACTCCTTGAATCGATTGGCTGGTCATAAGGAAGATTCTGGTCTTTTTCGGCTCGAGTTGAAGTATCTTCTGGCGGAGGTAGGGAATTTTCTCCAGCTATGCACATTTCTTCCAACATCAGGGTGTCCACCGATAGTGTGTCTGAATTTGTGATTTTAATATTTCAGGTAAATCTTATTTTCATATAATACCGGAAGCGTAGCTCGAGACATTACATTTAATTTAATTAAAACGAGGATAATTGTGTATGAGAAAAGAAAAAAATTCTAAAGTCCATTTACAAAGCGTATGTCACGAATGAAGGAGAAAAACGAGAAAAACGAGAAAAAGCACCTATGGAATTCTCATAATTTCTTTCCCAGCCATCTAGAAAGCCGATCTTCGGTTTATGCCCGTAAATTGTGCGCATGTGGGAGAAATTAATCTTTGGCGGTGGCATTTCCAGCAGCTTCAACGCTCGATCCCGCTTCTCCTCTTCCTGCCTCTTCAGCCGCGTAGCTAGCTAAGAAGGAGCAGGAAATAGCAGGCTATAAAAACCATACACTAGAGAAAATTGCAAATAGTAGAAAGTTGTGAAAAATCGAGAAACCTCCGTTTCGACCACGTTCAACTCTTGCTTGCGATCCTCGATATTCCTATTTAAATCCTTCAGCTTCTCCTCTTGTTTCATGTAGTTTAAAATCGCACGCGCAAGCTCGATGATCTTCGCGCGCATTCTGAGCCACGTGATCCACTCCTGCTGCCTCGATATCCTCTCCATGTCGTTAACCTTGTATTCCAGTATCATTTCATCCACTCGAATCTTTTCCAATTTTATTTTTGCTTCCTTTCTGTCCCTGGCCAATGGAAATTCTTCGTATTTTGCCTAGACAGCATTGCAATCAGAAAATATAGTTTGCTGAAACGATCTCGTTCGATTTGCTTGGTTAGAATGCCGAAATAAAAATAACGAGTATTACATACGTGATATGATTGCCACAAAGTTTCGTATTCCTTGTAAATATTTTCATAAAGTTCACATTCCTGTTGCTTCATAACTTTGTAGTCGTTGTCCAAATTTAGCTTCACTAATTCGATGTTATTGGAAATTTCATTCAAGCACTTGTTCTCCCTAGTAAACATATTTACAGGTGAATATAAATGACGAGTAACGTGAAATTAATCGTAGTCCTGTGTTTTACGTACTTGTTGAGAACAGCATTCAAAATCTGGATATTTTCCTGTGCATTTTTCGTTCCCTCTTTCAACTGTCTTCTTGTTTGCAACTGCAACTGCACTTTACCTTTAAGTTCCTTTATCTCCTTTTCGAGCACTAGTGAAAATATAGAAGACACCGTAGAATTACACTTGAGAATTTCTCGAACGATACAAATAAATACTGTATTTGACTGAAAATAACCACTACATATGCGTTACTATATGGTCTATCTGCTATAAAGCAAATCATCTCGCATAATTACAATGAGAAATTCCTTTGTTCAGTTGTTGAGCGTTAGTGAAAATATAGAAGAGACCGCAGAATTACACTTGAGAATTTCTCGAACGATACAAATAAATACTGTATTTGACTGAAAATAACCACTACATATGCGTTACTATATGATCTATCTGCTTTAAAACAAATCATCTCGCGCAATTACTATGAGAAATTCCTTTATTTCGTTTTCTAACGCTAGTGAAAATATAGAAGAGACCGTAGAATTACACTTGAGAATTTCTCGAGCGATACAAATAAATATTGTATTTGACTGAAAATAACCACTACATATGCGTTACTATATGATCTATCTGCTATAAAACAAATCATCTCGCGCAATTACAATGATAAATTCCTTTATTCCGCTTTCGAACACTAATTGAAACATAGAAAACACCGTAGAATTACACTTGAGAATTTCTCGAACGACATAAATAAATACTGTATTTCACTGAACTTATCCACTACATATACGTTACTATATGGTCTATCTACTATAAAACAAATCATCTCGCACAATTACTATGAGAAATTCCTTTATTTCGTTTTCTAACGCTAGTGAAAATATAGAAGAGACCGTAGAATTACACTTGAGAATTCCTCGAACGATACAAATAAATACTGTATTTGACTGAAAATAACCACTATATATGCATTCTATCTGCTATAAAACAAATTATCTCACGCAATTACAGTGAAAAATACCACAGAGTATCGATAAAATATGAGATTCGATGTAAAAGTTGCAACTGCATCTTATTTCGAACAGCTACGGTCGACCGTATGCACTCAACAAGTGTCTGTATTATTTCATCGCCCACACAGCCTTCGATTATACCGAACGCTATCAAATATCGCTCATCGACTCGTGAATATAAAGTCTGTTACCAAAATAGACGCGAAGAACAGAAGATAAGAGTATCTACTTACCAGACAACGTGCTCTTGGCTCCCTCGATTTCCACGCGTAGACAAGTTTCCAACATATTCATGAACTGCGGGTCGTCACAGCTGATTTCGTCTTCCATCGTCGCTTTACGGCACTATTTTCGCGAAGAGGCACTCGAATTCAACAATAAACTCGATCAAAGGTCACAAAATCGCACAATATTTCGCTACGCAGCACAATACGAAACGCCTCGATCTGTACCCACGCCATCGAACCTGTCGAATGTTGCTAGTGGGCGCTGATTGGCTGCCGCTTTTCACTGCAATTACGCGGCAAATTTGAAACCACTCGCGCGAACTGAACAGCAGCTGTGACTAACAAACGATGAAAACCATAAACCAAAATCGATAATAACGATAACAGTAGCACAAAATATCGTATTGTGTAGTCCCAATCTACCAAAAAAGCAATGCAACGAAAAATAATAACGAAAGCGACACGACCTGCATAAAGGGTTATGTGCGGTCGAATAAACTTTGAAAACTAGCTCCTCTTATCGTGCCGAGCAATTCGCGGAAACGATAAAATGGCACAGTTCGTGAAAATATTAATGCTGCAGCTGCAAGGAAATTACCGTGGAGAAACTTAAAACAAGGGAGAGGAGAAAATTCACGAGCGCGAGGCGCGTAGCTGTTTCTGGACCGTCGCGTTTCTCTGTTTACAGCGACCCATTCGTTTACATCGTTCCTCACGGCTTGCACGGGTTCCTCTGCGCAAGCATAAAGGCAAATTTAATTCTCCTACAGTGTCGGCGACGCGCGTAAACATTTTACGAGCAACGGGGAACGAGCGGTCGCCAGTGGCAACCGATTAATTTATCGGGCCCGGGGAAATTGATATCGAAAAATATAAGTAAAGGCCTGGATGCCGAGTGCACGGACACAGGGAACTGGCCGGCGGCCAACTGGACAGCCATTTGGGTCAAAGCGACCTGCCATCCCTTTCCGTTACTCCACGGTTCCTCCGTTTCCGTTTTGCTACGGCCACTCTGCGAATTGCTGATGCCTTTTTCCCTCTTTTCTATTTTGACTCTTCTCCTAGCTGTCATGTTAATGTTAAACGTTAATTAAAGAGTTTGCACTCGTTTTTCACCCAGATGGAATTTTCTGGCGAAGACACGGGGACAGTAATTTCCTGGAAAGGGCTCTTTTGTACCAGTGGACATGACGTTGAAATTTTCCCAGCTTCCCGAGAAACTTTGCAAATACGGAGGGGTGAATTGTTAGCAACGGCAGAATTTCGGAATTTTTATTTCGTACGCGTGCTCGAATTCTTTCCTCGAGAATTTACGTTGGGGTGTAATTATGGGCCAGCAGGTGCCTCGAATATTTCGATAAACTTGCGCTATGTTCTAACTTTTAAACGCATTCCTTTGGTCCAGCAGCCGACTTCAAAGCGCAGAACACAAAACACGAGCCACGTTAAGCTCCTCCGTGTGCGCCACTTTAACTCTCCACCCTTCATCCGCGTTTGTCCAACACACACTCGAAAATAAGTTCCGGGTCGAGCTCCGAAATTTTAGTGAACACCTTTTACATGCATTCCACTTCGGGCCACGCAAAGGAACACGTGCACGGGATAATTAACCCCCTATAACACCGGGTGACTCGGAAATTGCACGTCCTTCTGGCCACATTTTCTAACTCCTGTTCAACTGTCCCTCTAATATTCCGTAGCTTCGCGTTAATTACCACTCTACTTCGCTGATTTTCCTCGCGATAACGAAAGATCCAATTGTTTAACGTTCCCCTAACATTCTCGCCTTCGTTTACATTTCCACGACCTCGATAACCAATCTCCAAATATCATAGCTGCCTTTTCCTCGTTGCAACGAGGGAAAAAGTCTGGGCTAGAGATGGCTGCGGAGTGGCCGGAAATGGAGACACGTTTAAGGAAGCCACTTCTTCCGGTGCCATTTATTCCACGTCTTCTGGTCGGTTTCGAACCGGCAAAATCCATAAGTGAAACGGGCCCGACTGGCAGCACGAGAGACCTGAAAGGCAAGAAGGAAGAGGAATTGAAGGTGGTGCTCGTTCTTGCGTGCGTACAAAAGCGACGTTGCGCCATTACGGGACAAAACAGCCAGGCACGGACGCGTTCGTTCGCTTAAATGCAGCTGCACGCGGGTCTGCAGTTTATTTAATAGGAATCGTGAACCCGGGGTCGTGGAACGAGACCATGAGGATCCTTTTTCGCGCGGACTGCGTTGTCTCGCGGGAAAACAAAGCGGTGACTCACGGCTGAGTACTCGAATCTTGGTGTAACCCCTTTCCTCGAACAAAGCTCGGCAACCGGGGAACGATTACTCGGGGAAGTAATATATTTTTGTATTTTTTTTCCTTCCTGCATTTAGTGTGATATTACGTATGGAAATTTAACCAGCTAGTGATTGTGATTGACGAGTATACTCGTCATGGAGAAGTGGCAGGATTTTGTGTCATTACGAATATATCGTTCAGTATTCACAATTTATCACAAATTATTCATATTTCTCATTTGTTTGTTTTAATCTGACCTGGCCTCGAAATATTCTAAACATCCTGAAATTTGGGAATATATTTTATTTTTCACAAAAATTACAATTTAAACAGCTAATTGTCACTACTTTTTACGCATGTCGAGTATACTCGTCATGACACAAAATCCTGCCACTTCTCCATGACGAGTATACTCGTCATGCGTAAAAATTAGTGACCATTAGCTACTTAACACTAGAACTACCGATGTTTAATGGAAACCTAGCTGTCACGTGTACAGATTATAGTAATTTCAGTGGTACGATGAATATGAGTGAATATATTGATTACAGTTCTTTCTTGATATGAGTTGATGCCAATTTTATTCTTAAAGCAGGTGTATCTGTTCGGTGATTGCAAAGAGGAAAATTCTTGGACCAGTCACTTTGACTGGGTTGGTAGTTTTTTATTCTTAAAGCAGGTGTATGTGTTCGGTGATTGCAAAGAGGAAAATTCTGGGACCAGTCACTTTGACTGAGTTGGTAGCTCTAGTGTTAAATCGTAATTTTTGTGAAAAATAAAATATATTCTCAAATTTGAAGATATTTAGAATATTTTGAGGCCAGGCCGGGTCAAAAGGAACAAATAGAAGATATGAATAATTTGAGATGAACTCCTGCGTCCCCGTATGCACCGACTGAAACAGCTTATCAGTTCGCATAACGAATTTATTTATGTACGATGATAACGTTTTCTAGATTTCAGTGTAATAGGGGCAAAAGCAGAAGTCGAAAAGGTGATTTATGATAGGGTTCCTTCAGGGATGTCCGCCAAGGACAAATGCATGACGCTGACCAGGCACTGAGCCCATAGAGAATAGATGTTAACCAAATAAGTAAATATTAATAATAAAATTGTCAATTTTATAAAATGAACTCATCTTTTTGATCCGATATTTTAACAGCGACACTTACTCTATGATTGACGAGTATACTCGTCATGGCTCGATTTTCGCGACACATATGGGTACCTGCTCTCAAAAGGGGGCGTGACAGCTAACTGGTTAAGAAGCAGATTTATAGAAGCAACTCTTCTGGGGGTGGTACTCGGGAATGGTGGATGGAAAAAGTTGGTGGCTTTCGCCGGGGATAATGCGCGTAATTAATTTATTAATCTCTGCCTTTGTTAGTGGTAAATTTACTTCCGACAAGCCCCGGTGTAACATCGCTAACAAAAAGCCTTTTACGAGCGGAACGGCGCAGCAGGGAAAAAAGATAGCAGAGCATTCCCATGGAAATGTATTTAAATTCATACGTGCCAGTTTACCCTGTACCGACCAGCCTGGCGACGAGTTTAGCTTCTCCGTTAAAGCGGAACATTCATCTGTGCGAAACTATCTCTGTTACAAAAAGGGAAACGGGGGAAAAAAGGGGAAAAATATCCGCGAACCGACAAGGTTCGGTTTTCATGCAACGAACAGACGAGGCACGTAAATGTACCCGTGAAACACGAGATAGGACACCATGGGGTTGCACGCGGGTGTGGGGGATAGAATGGGGTGGTAGACGGTGTAGGATACGGATCTTTGTGAGATTTTCGCAATTTGCAACGAGACGTCGACGAGTACTCGGCGCCTTTCAGTCGTCCCGGCCATGGCGAACGTAATGTCTTCAATGAAAACTTGCCCCAAACCCCCCCACGCGGGTTCTCGTCGTTTATCAAGCTCCAACTCTCTATCTCCGATCAGAAGGAGAACAAATACGACCATTCACAGCCCACTTTTCGAATTTTTTTTTTATTTCTGTGTCGAATCACGTGGTTCAAGCTTACCGTTTGTAATTTGAAATAAATTTGTCCCTTTGTTGTATGGAGTTTGTAAATGGAGAACCAATATCGCGATTTTTATTACACCATATTGGAAAGGAATTATCGGTGGGTAGAGACATTGATGAAAAATTGAATAACTTGTGAACTAGGTGTTCATTAGAACCCTGTATACTGGAAATTAATCTGATTTTTTAATTTTAATGCTCATAATTACTAAACCACATTGGACAACGTTAAGAGTATTGCACAAGCTTACAAAAATTAACAATTGAACTACCAGGCAGAATCAAAATAATTTGTTCCGGATATTTTATTTCCACGATTGCTGACAATATGCACCTGCTTCTGTTAAAAATTATTTATTTATTTATTTATACGGGATTAACCTATTAGAAAAATTATAAGAAAATTATTGCAATGAAATTGTGATACCGCAGAATGAGTGGGTCGAGCATGTTATCTAGAGTGCGTGCGAAAGGACCAATGATCGTGCTCTAGGATCGTGTGGACGGGATGGTTATGAATGTATCGGATGAAAGCGAAGAGTGTCTTTAGGAATGCGTTTGAGTGTTTGGGCTACGTGACCCGCTGAGGGTAAGATTGCAAGGGGTGCGTGGGAAAGTGTGATTGGGAAAGAAAGAATAGGTTTGAAAGAGGATAGAATGTATGGTTTTAAATAGGGATGCAAGGGCGTGAGTAGGCAGTATGTAGTATGTCGTAGTATGGTGTAGTATGTTAGAGTTCGTAGCAGAGAGTTGTGAAGAAAGAAGTTGTTAGTTGTAATTGCGTTATTAGCTGTAATGGTGTTGTTAGTTGTATTCGTGTTGTTATTTATAATCGTGTTATTAGTTGTAGTCGTAAAAGTTTAGTTGATAGAT